ACAAAACATCAGGCATGTGTCATCCATGATATGAATTGGTATCTGTGGAACTTCCTTAGATGCTGGAAAAACAGTTCTAGCATAACTAAAAAAATCCAACTTACAATGATCACTCATCAAATATTGAATCTAAATATCCATGCTACCAGTGAAAATATACAAAAGGAAAGCATTATTTTCACTTAGTGTTTGAAGTATGAACTTCCCCCTTTAGCAGTCTTGCCACAAGAAAATGACCCAATACACCTACTCATTATTTGACATAGAAAAGGATAAATGAAGAACAATATAATGTTAAAGATGTACTGACCAATTTACCTTGTTGCGTATGAGATTCCCAATCTTAATAATATCACACTGCATCTCATCATTAAGGATCTTGATTGCCTATAAGGACAGCAATTGTAAGATAAACACTAAAATAGCTAGAATCATTAGAAAGAATCACTAAAAGACATCTGAAAATAAATGAAATCAAGAAACATGTACTTCATAGTTCAGACAATGGCCAAAGGCTTGTTTATTAATGTAATTTACAAGGAAAAGATTCTTGACATTCAACTATAGGAGAAAGAGTTCCATCAAGAAAAAGAAAAAGAAAAAGAAAAAGAAAAAATAACTACGGAAAAGAGAAAAAAATATGATCACTCAAAAAATAACTTGACGAACAATTTTTCTGTGCTCCTGAAAAACTTGAAAAATCTCAAATAATGAAAAAAAAAAAGTAACTTGTGGTATGCGGTAAAATATTGGACATACCTGAGGTGCAGGAACACTACGTGAAAGAAGCTTTATCAGATCCCTAGCTTTGATAATCACGAATGGATCTCTAGTTTTTCGAGTAGTTGAGACAGTCATAGATCCCTCAACCTACAAAATAAAATTCAACCAAAGTTACTTATTATATAGGTAAATAACTTTGCTACTCAAAACCAAGAAGCAAGAAGAATATATCAATTTTAAACAAAGGCATTGAGAATAGCAGAAAGCTGTCATATGCATCACTAGTGAACTTCAATATTTAAATGCAAAAATAAGTACAAAGTTCAAGATGGCTTACCAAATTAAGTTCACATGAGACGCCATGTTCTTTTAGTGCACTTTTCACCATAGGCCATACTTCCTGCAAGTACTTTTCTGTAAAACTATGACTTCATGAGCACCTCATGAGTGGAAAATAAATATTTAGAAGGTTATGTGTATGTGTGTGTGTGTGTGTGTGGATAGAAATAACTCGATGGGTTGTAGATATCAAAGAGTACAACAAAAGAAGAAGAAAAAGCCATAATGTCTCAACTATTTGGGTCCGCTACATGGATCCTTTTAGTCAGTCAGCACTATTTAAGACAATACCACAAGTCAAACTAAGCATAATCAAATCTCTTTTTAATATTTCCAACAAAGTTTTGTGAGTCTCCCTCTTCCTCTCCTCACACCCCTAACCTTGACTGATTTACTTTGTCTATTCAGGGCATATATAGGTCTCTATCTTCCCTTCCTATTCAATAATATATCCAATAAGTGTAAATTTTCAACCTCCAGGAAATCATTGTTCTTAACATACTTTCAATTTTCCTCTAGGCAATGCTAATATACTTAATCTACAACCTTTACTACATTTAGTTTCGAGTGTTTGTCTCCAAGTAATGCTATATTAACCCACAACAATATGCTTGACACTGTCCTCCGCTCAATAGTTTTAATCCAATGCACCAAACCTATTGATCGGGCTAATTGATACTCCATTGTTTTATTTAAGAGAAGATTGGTTTTCGGTTGTGTCAACAGGGTTTGATTATCTTTCTCAGAGTTCTAATTCACTAGCCCTAAGAAATTCTTAGAGGACCTCCATGCAATGGCCCTCTGCGACAAATTATGACAAATTTCAGCTCGCCTGAGTTGGATAGCTCCCAAAATTTCCACGCAGAAATACATACACACATAGTATACAAGTACCAATTCAAAATAATCCTTCAGCAATCGCTACTACCTGGAGGCCAAAAAAAAGAACGAAACCCTAACGGCCATAACAAAGCACGGCACTCGAAAAGGCAGGAAATCCGAGATACCAGAAAGCCTAGAGAGGCAGATGGTCGTATAATAATAGGCAGAAGAAGAGAACCGGGACGCTTTTACCTCTGTACTGAGGGAAGAGGGTGGAGAAGGAGCTGACTTCGAGCATCCCGCCCTCGTTCCAGGAGGGGTCGAACTTCTCGATCTTCCAGCGGTCGATATTAGGGTCCTCGTCCCACGGCTTGGGCTTGTCGTGCTTCCCCTTGTGCTTTTTGCCCTTGGCCGTGGAGGGTCCTTCTCCTCCGACGCCATCCCGATCAATGTAAGCCTCCTCCGCCATGGACACGCGGTCGTGGCGGCCTTCGGTTCGGAGGATCGAAGCCGGCGGCTACTCGAAAGGTTGCGGTGTCGAGACGATTACCCGAGTAGGAGCGTCGATCGGATGCATTATATACGAAAACAATGGGTCAATTCAGGATGTTGTTATAAGGCTCAGGCCCATTTAGATCCATAATGGGCCAAGCTTGGTCACTTTAGGCCCACCATGTTTGCTAATTAGGAATCGAATATAATGCGAGCGACTGACTGTTTGATCCCAAATTAAACTTCTTATTGTCTTAGAACAAAAGCGACAGGCACCCGAGAGTCTTTGAGATTCGCATTTGAGTATCACTTGTAATTAATATTACATGTCTTTATGCGGCCACATAAAAAAGGATGGGTAAAGGAGGATCGCACAAACACTTTCCATCTTCTTAAGCATTATTTCGTAGATAATATCTCAAACGAATGCGGCTTATATAATTCCACGTAATTAATCATCATTATTCCAGCGAACGTTCATATTAGAATTTCGATGCATATTTAAGAAAAGGTCAAATGCAAAGGCCAAACCTAAATGATTCTACTCGAGAAAGAACTATATTCCTGTAGTTTTTTAAAGGAAGTCGACGACGATAAAAAAAGGAAGGAAAAGAGAATTTTTGATCAACAACAATCAAGATAGGTGCTCCTAAAAGCAAGTCCACCTATTGCTCTCTTTTTTATGGATGGACTAAAGAAATGCTTGATGAAAAGTCTTGATTCCTATGCTGCTCCTGATGTTTCGATTAATCCTCTAAGAATGCTGGGGAGCTAATTAATTCTTCGCTTGGTAACAGACATGATACTTAAAGTAACGGGAAATGAAGGAAACAAGAAAAGAGGAGGAGGAAAGCTGGCAAAGGTAAAATGAAGACCCTTGAATTCATGCATCACTTTGTTCTCTCACGTTGACTAGTTTTGCCTTAAAGATTTGCACAAGAATTTTCTTTAGCTTTAATCTACTTGTTTAATACAAAGGAGATCCACACTGTTCTACTTTTGTCGAACAGTATATCTAGAGAAAAAAGCTTAGACCTCCGCAATCACTTCCGTCTTCCCCTCTGTATGATCGATCATACGAGATTCAGCGATCAGAAAGGAAATAAAGGTTTGCCATAGAAGGATGAGAATTATTTAGAATTATGGTAATTTATAGTTTACTGCAGTGTGATATGTGGAGGAAGCTGCAAGCATGTTTGTTCCATGGAATGGGATGTACGTAATATGACGGAGCACATCGCCACCTATAAAAAGGTCTCCCCTTGTCAGTACCTTGCCACAGAAGAGGAAAGAAAGAAGTTGGCCATCTCCCTCTCTCTCTCTCTCCCTCCTGTGCTGCTCAAGATGAAGAAGGTATGTAGAGGAACAGGCGATGGTGACAGAAGAGAGTGAGCACCCATGATGCTTCTGTGCATGGTGCATGGGGGAGTCTATGCGTGCTCACTGCTCTCTCTGTCATCGGCTCCTTAAGCTTCAGCATTTAGCATTAGCTTTTGTTACTTCTTCTGTGGGACGTGATCAGAGGAAGCAAGTGGTTTCTTCCCGAGTTCGCTCATTATTCCTTGTAACTCCACTTCTGTTCATAATTTGGTCCAGAATTAATATGATTTCCTTTAAATTTTTGTTTACTTGTCAAACTCAGTTAAAAATCTTTAATATTGTAAAACTACTGTTTAAACTCTGTCCAAATATTGTCAGATTAATATATAAATGTATTCATTTTATTTTATGTACTTCTAATATTTTGTGGAGAAGGAAGAGAATATGTCATATAATCTCAGACAAAGCTTGTGGGAGAAGAATAGATTTTTGTTTCTTTTATTTGCCATGAATAACAGTTTGCGGCACTTCAATCGTACACGAAAACAATATGAATCTGATATGAGATAATGTCATGGCTGCATCAGAGTTTTCTTTCTTTGGCTGAACTCAGAATCTTGAAGAACAAAAGGAGAAAGTCTTCAGGATGTTTACATCAGTGGAAGCTGTAGCTCGGGATTAGTTTATGTTTGACGTTTTCTTCAGCTAATTTTCTTTTTGTTTCTCATTTGAAGCCATTAGAGTCGATAATTTTCTTTTTGTTTCTCATTTTAAATCATCCATTTGTAGTAGCTGTCTCTCACATGACCTGCAGCCGACCATACACGTTCGTGGTTGAGGTGGTAGTCTCGTGTACCAGAGGAAAGATTGGCACAATGAAAGGATCATAATCCACTCAACTATGGCACTTTAAGAGTTGGAAGTGAAGTCTAAGATGGAACCCTCACTTGCTCTGTAGAAGCGAAGGGAAGGGAATGAGCACAGAATCACGGCTCTCTCGTTTTGCCAAGGAAGCCATGGTATGGTGGTGATTGGCTGTTGTTTGTTGCAGTAAAGAAACGAAACCCAGAAGCGTCAGCGTCTCTCTCCGCGGGTTTCTCGCTCCAAAATCTCCACGTAGTGCGAGGACATAGCAAAAAGTGACAGAGAAAGATCTGGTGGTATAACACCACGTCCAGACTTTAAAGAAGCAACAAATTGTGAGCCCACAGAATTATTGCAGCAAGGAAGAAAACAGAGCAAGAAGAACAAGTTTCTTTAGTTTCTTGTCTTGTTTCAATTTAGTAGATGCCACAATCTTCTGCTGTTGCTGATATAAAACAGGCGAGGGAGAAGATGAGTCGTCAGCCATCCTATCCGCCTTTAGGAGAGAAAAGAGGAAGAGAGAACGAAAAAGGATTAGGCCTTCGATTGCCAAAACGACACCCACTGAGTTCTTCTTCCCTCCTCTTCTTTTCCTTGTTCCTTCTATCATCGTGGACGCATGATCCGTCACTGGTCATATGAAGACGGGATAACCATCGTCGTCAGAAAGGATCGGGGATGAAGGGGCTGTTGGAGATAGGAATGGAGGACGGGAGACTTCTGCTCCTCAAACTTGGCGTGGCTCTGGCAGTGCCCATCGCCGGATACCTCGTCTCCCATCTCAACTTCCAGACCTCAGCCGATACTGGTTTGCGTCTTCGGCTCTGTTTCTACGCAGGATAGACTTAACTTACACTCGATGCCGATTCCTCTTTAACCATTTCCTGTTCTTGTGTGTATTACTTGTAGTAGGAAATGATGAATCTGCAACTGGCCGTAGATCTATAGATGCTGCACCTATTGGTTGTGGAAGAGACCTCAAAGATGGGCTCCTCATTCTACAAAATGTGAGATTCCTGCTCCTTCAACTTGAGATAATTATGATGTATATAGATGTATAAATTTTCCTTATCATCTGAGAAGGAAGAAGCTATAGTGAACGTCGTCCATGGAACTTCCGCTGCTCCTGCCACTATAACAGCAGTGACCAACAACTTCACAGAGCAGTCTCCTGAGAATTTAGTGGATGAAGACGGACTCCTCTTGCAGGTAGTCAAGCAGGAACCTGAGCGTGCGGGGCCGAGGAACTCCACTGGTGACAAGTTTGAGGGCAAGAAGGTGAAAACGGACGCAGAGATCGTGTACCTTCGCGACCTGGTGCAGTCCCTCTGCGACAGGATTAGGAGCCTTGATATCCAAATGCTCGAGTATTATGGATCGAAGGAGCAAGATGCTGCCATTCGAGAGCTCGAAGGGGAGTTGAAGTTGAACTCAGTGAAGGCTAGCCGTTTATCCCTGAAGATCGAGTCCTTGAAGAACGAGAACCAGAGGCTCAAACTTCAGGCATCGGAGTACCGGAAAATAGCGCCGGAGCTCGATTCTGCAAGGGTGATAATAAAGCATCTCAAGAGGAGGATGAGTTCCGTCCATGTGCAGGCAAGAGAAGAGATAGCGTTCCTCGAGCAAAAGATCAGGAAGCTGAACGATGTGGAGCACAAGGATAGCCAAGAGGATGTGGATCTCCAAAACAAGTTGAAGAGACTGAAGGAGTTAGAAGACGAGGCTTATGAACTCGGAAAGGAGAACTCGATCCTGTCGCAGGAAAACATGGAGTTGGCACAAAGGTTGGCGTACGCAGAGACGTCCATCTCCACTCTCGAGGAGCCTCAGGTAGTTCATAATTTCTCTTCGTTGATTCAGTTGAGTCATAAATATATATGGCTTTTTGGTTCTAATTCTGAGTTGCATCACCTCTTAACCTTCAGTTATGTTATGCAGGCAGAAGTCATGGAGGAAGTCCACCAGCTGGGAGAAGCCAATGACAATTTGGAGAAGGAAATCGAGCAGCTTCAAGCAGATCGCTGCGCAGATGTCGAGGAGCTCGTGTATCTCCGGTGGCTCAATGCCTGCCTAAGGTATGAGCTGAGACAGCATCAACCCCCCTCTGAGGAAATCGTTTGCCGAGGATCTAAGCAAGTGTTGGAGCCCAACATCAGAGGAGAAAGCCAAGCAGCTCATACTTGATTGCACACACGCATGCATCGACGATCAAAAGAACTCGAGGTTTAGGGACCTCGATGCAGATTGCTCGTCTCAGGAATCCAGTGGCGAGTACGACGATTCTCCAGTCGAAAGGACCAGCCCACGTAGATCGAAGTTCCTTGGCGGACTGACGAAGCTGGCGCTAAGAAAAAGGCAGTCGAGACAAGAGAGTTGCTTCCTCCGATGGCGTGGCTTCTTGCCTGCCTGGGGAGAAGTCGGTGAGCAGTCATTCGACAGGAACCGCGTCGCACGCCGACGACAGATGGAAGAAGAGACCTGCTTGGTTTCGAACTGCTTTTAGATCCCACTGTAAAGGAGCCCGTTGCGAGAGGGATCTGGGTATTATTACTTACTACCATGGAGCACAGAAACATGACCAGTGAAGATGACAGCAATATTTGTCGAAATAATTCATTTCACCAGGGAGAATCTGAGACTGTTCGGAGACACAGATACGCCGAAGCTTTCATGAGTTCTCGCAACGGTCAGCTTCCTTCAGCCACAGTTGATGGCGCCACTGTTTTAAGTTGCCTTGTGTCGAACATGTCGTTAGTGGGGACAGTGAACATATTTGTTGGCTTGCTGACATGCACTTGGAACTGCAAGATCACTTTTGCTTCTTAAATCGATAGTTTTCAGTGTGTGGTTCTTCTTCAAACGTCGTAGAAAACTCTTTGTGTTCGCGGAGAACTTTGTTCCATGTTCAAGGTGTTCATTAATTCAACATTTTGCTAAGAAAAGCCTACTAATTTTCTCGAATAAAACAAACAAATAATTATCTGCATCAACGATCAAAACAAGTAGAGAGTTCAAGGAGTCTATACTAATCTACATAAAATTCGAGGATTGAAAGCAGACAATGCTAATAAAGGATTAGCAGTTCAAAATATGCCATCTGGAGGTAGGAATTAGTGTATGTAACAAGTACGTGCCAACCACGATAAATGCCATGGGAGGAAAAAAGCAGGCAATTATTAGGGATACAGCCTTGTGCTTACAATAGAATCCAAATTGCAATAGCCATTAAAGTGCCAGATTTATTAGATCAAAAGGGATCCAAGTTTCAGGTTGAGTGAAAAAAAACGACTTCAACATGATTACATTATTGATCGGCTGAAGAGCCAAGAACAAAATTGTGAAAATTATCACATGCATAAAAATATTGGCATATGGCATCACAAGTATATAATACAATATGCAATTGTGTGTCGATGGCTATAATTTTACTCGATATCATCCATGGTTGATCAACTCACAACTCGCTTTTTTTTCACATCAGACAAGATTGATAGTGAAGGAGACATAGGGATGAGCCTCAGCTTCACCACCTATACCAGCCAAGCCAACTTCATCTTCAGATTTCCAATAGGAACTGGAAGGCAAATAAAGTCGGTCAGAAACACAATAAAACTAAGCAAAGCCTGAGTTTGGAAAAGAGAAACACAATAAAACTAAGCATAGTCTGAGTTTGGAAAAGAGATTAAATACACATCGATACAAAGGCTATGCATTTCAGATGAAAACTAATCTCGTTCGAATATGTTGATAATAGCAACCATTACCTGTTAACATTTCCACATAGCTCTTCCAGAATACCACGAACTTTCTTCTCATTTTTCACCGAAGGTGCCAATACTACAGCCTGTAACATACCAGCAGAATTGTGTTGGTATTTATTGTGGGGACATCTAATCAAAGCAGAGAAATAGGTTCTAATACCAGAAACTGTGGTGGCAACCCATATCTGAGAATGCTCTCTGCAAAGACCCGTACAGCACAGAAATGCATCCAGGAACTGAAAACCTGCAAGCAGATGCATATATAAAAGTGACATTAATAGTGGAAATAAGCTACAATTTTAGCAAAGAATCCGTTGGTGAAATATGAAAATGCATTGTATACAGCTTGATGCTGGCAGTTGCATTGTGCTTATCCCATGCAAATTTAAGCAACACTGACGTATGAAATCCAACATGTTTCATAATAGTCATTATTTATCACATACAAGTAAAGAATTCTATTTGTATGCCCACGGCTGCTACACTAATGACTGATAATTTTAAACTTAAAGGAGACGTTGGTGAAAGAGAAGAACAAAGAGGTAATTAAAATCAATTAAGCTAAAACTCTTAGGTTCACAAAATGCATCAGCTTGACGCATTTGCAAAACTTTGTTTTCTGTATAACTCAGTTCCAGCAGTTGCACCATTGAAATTTCAGATGTCTTTACATATTTGTGGTTAACTTTCTTTTTGTCATCTGTGCATTACTTCTGTATTTGTTAGTTAGGTATTGAGCCTGCATTTAGTACAACTGTTTTCTGTAACTGGTGCAGCGGCAAAAGCAGATGATGAAAGAGTTGTGAAGAAGCAACATTGTTAACAAAATTTATAATGAGATATGACACAATTGTTGCACCATGCAGAACTTCCACCTACTGCAATGATTCCTGGACTTGTTGAAACCAAGGTTTGAGCTTTAACCAAAGAAAAGTGATGTGAATGTAAGTTAAAAGTAAATCCAGTCATTTGATTAAAAAGAATTATGCAAGAAGAAACACTGGAGGCATCCAGTAAATTCAAACAATAGAAATTAATAATTGAACACAACGAGATAGAACTTATGATGTGTTATCCAGAGAATTGACCTAAAAATGAAAATAGTGGTTGTTATAATTGATTATCTTCTGATGGTGTAGAACAGTAAAGCATAAATTTTGATTTGTATAAGCAGGTATTGCATTTTAATACCACTAAACAACAACATTTGAAAAGCAAGAAAACATTAAGTAAAGTGGACTTTGAAGAGAAGTTGTGAAAACAGAAGGGATATCCCATGCAACATATTGACAGATCAATTGGTGTCTCAGAAATTTGAAAAAAGATACACTCTGTTCCCACACCACATTTACCTAGCATGAGTCTGGTGGTCAGAGAGGTGTCTTAAATATACATTCATGCTCTGTTGAACAGAAAACAACTACGACTGGATTGTTTACATTACCCAATTTTCAAACACCAACTTATCAAAATTGTAGTTTTAACTTAAATGTATATATTGGCATGCCTTGATGCTAAGCTCATTTAGGATTAAACCTGCTTCAGTTCTCTATCCTAAGATACCATGGCTATTTCTAATTAGTTGTTCTCTGTTTTCTCCAGTTGTTCGAGCTGGCCTTTTCATTCAATGATTCTATTGTTCTCCTCTTCTGAAGTTCATTATCTTTACCACTTTAAGTATATACAAGAAATATCTGAATGAACTTAGCAAACCAACCATAATATAATCAGTAGAAGATAGAGATATATCCTTGTACATAGATATGGGAAAATTGTCAAGAATGTAATAACCGCCTTACCAAAAAAGTTCAGAAACAATCAATGGTTCAGTCATATATGCAACAACATAAACCATTGCTTTCTTTCTTCAAAGAAACTTAAAACAAAGGAATGGCAGAAGCATTGCACCATAAGAAGGTTAAATAATAAAACTAAACTTAAATACTCAGTGCACCTCTCCATAACTGGCATAGCACCATTGTAAAAGGGATCTCCTCTTGCTCTCCTGATCCTGTATTAGTTTTTCAAACTCTTGTTTCCTACTTTCTTGTGCTTCTGGACTATACTCAAATTCCCGAATCTGAACCACAAAAAACATAAAATAAATTTCACCAAGAACAAAATGAATAAAGAGCACCAGAGAACTTGACCATCTGGAATTGTCAGAAGGGAAAGAATTGCAGGTCAGTGAGTTTTCTGGTAACTCTAGGTGAAAGTCTAAAATACAAGTCAAATTTCAATATTTCTGTCAAAGACACAGGGTAACTTCAGCAAATCAATTTGAGTAAGAAACTTGCCTGAAATCCTTTTTCACGTGCATTATTGCGAAAGTTGTCAGCAACCTTTCGAAAGAGAGTCACAGTATAAAGAGCATACTCATTATCCTCATGCAACTTCTTTGCTGACCTAGGAACCTAAATAAATATAAGTCACTGTCAAGTGCTAAACTTACAACAGGAAGAACATATGTTACAAAATTTCCAAATTCAAGTCTACAAAGTGAGTACTGGTTTATCTACGTACATGAACTGAGACTGAGGGATTACCTATCATAAGACCTAATAGAACTTTTACTTTCATTTGAGAGTTGAGACAAAATGATCTTTGCTAAGTTTGGATAAGTTCATGTTCAATATATGTGGGTCGATTTAGGGTATCAAAATTGTAAGTTGGCAAAACCAATCACATATCTAATCAGAAGCAGATATTTAATTGAAAACGAAGCATTATTATAACTTGATGATATAGCCATATAATATATGCTTAAAACATGTATGTTATTTATTAGGTAGATTTAAATTGTTGTGCTCTTCTAGACCAACAGAATAATAAAAAATGTTCATGCTGCAGACCTACTTTAATCTGCTTAAAGTGAAACCACTCATGCTGCACTAATGCTGCATCCAGTTTGGGTTTAGAATAATCTAGTAAAGTTTACTAACCCAGATAACAAACTAAACCAAATTGTAGGTCTGTAAAACAAAATTAAAATTACAGTATAGATATTTTTACCCACCATTAGGTGGGTAGTTCTACCTGATTTATCTAGGTTAAACGTCTTAGGCTAAGTTCATTCAACCTCTCATAACTCCAAACTTTTAAAAGGTTATCTAATAGCCATGTGGTTTAACTCTCTTAACCCTAAACCAAACACATCCTAAAAATATCAAGAATATCATCTTATTATTAAGTATACTTGTCAATATTAAATGTTGAAACATATACCAGAATTAAAAGCATATAAATGTAAACCTTCATGCTTTTAACAGAGCATAATAGTTAACCAACAATGGCCAGGAAATAAAGTGTGAGAGGAAGAACAAAATGAGCTGCCTCCTCTAATTTTTTCCCTTTCAATTTGCAACTGTTGACCCACAGTTAGAGATAGCATAATTGGAATTCCATTTCCAAAAGTTATGTGCCTTCCTTAGTTGTACACAAATGTCCGCAAGAGTAGATGTGCATAATAGCACCAACATGAGTCCATATGGTTGAAAAACTCGAGCAGTATGCCCCATTTAGTGACTAATACTATAAAAATTTAAGTTTCAATAAGCAGTTTAGCACCATCTCAAAGGCTTCCCATCGTTCAATGTCTCAGTACCATAACAACAAATTCTTAGATAAAAGCCCATGAAGAAGATAGGACAATTCGGTGCACATGGTTATTCATGATTGCTACATGCATGGCTGATCTGCTTTGAGTTTCTAGAGAGTCTTTTTTAAGTCAATAAAAGATGTTTCTCTCTGGACTTCCAAATGTACCCTTGTAGACCCTGTGTATCTGTTCTTTCATTAACTTTTCTTTGTCTATGCTTCTGTTGTCAATTTACAGAGCTTACCTTTTTTTGTTTCCTCAAGCAGTTACCAGTAAGCTTTAATTCATGAGCATAACCCTCAGTTTAAGAATTCATGAGTGGTTCTTCTAATGGCAAAAGTGGATATAAGAAAAGTAAGATGAACAAATTAAGGGAATCAATTAAAGTCCATTGACAACTAATGAAAGCATATGATACTAGAATATTTTACCACAAATGTAGTCAGAGTTTCATAGCTAGAAAGCCAGTCCTTCTGAGAGTACTTTGGAACTACAGCTAGAAGTGTCACCAGATGTTCTGATGCTACAATATCTTCTGGATTTACCAAATTGGAAAGGTCACGAACTGCTAAGCTGCAATAGGCAAAATGACACTTGAATCACAAAACCAAGCTGACACTGAACAAATTGAGGCAGAAAGTCAGAAAGTGTATCCTTTCATACCTTCCACTTTGCTTTCTGTTTATTGCATTAAGCTGACTACGGATATTGCTGTACTCTGCAGCACGAACCTGCAAAAGTACAAACATTATTATGGACTTTAACATGAAAGGGTCAGAAAAATCCTTCAAGAACAGGTTGAGACAATGTTGTCTTTGACTTTCATACTATCTTTTATGATTTTCCTTTCCAGTACAAAGAAAATAACATGTGGAGATTTCCCATACATGATATTGGCAATGGTGAAATGGATATGATAGTTTGGAGAAAAAATTACCTAAGCCAATACAATGTCGCCGCTAAACAATTTAATATGCAAGCAAAATGTAAGAAGGTTATGACTATATTGTCAATCACTGATATGTATTTACTTTATAGAATGCATGCAATAGAAGAGAAAGAAACAAAGATATGTTTGGTATACCAATGTTTTCATACAATTTCTACTAGTTTCGATACTAAGCTACACTTATAGCACCAAAAGTCGAAAGTGTTCAAATTTGAAAACGAAAAAAAGATAGTCTTTGAGTCTCAAGAAAAAAAAAAGGAGGATAAGCCATATAAAATTGGAATATTGACCACAAGAGTACAAATTGGTTGCTGCAGTGATTCAATTGATTATGATACTTCATCCTTGCGAGGTTCATGTAAACCAGATCCCTTTTTAGATCATCAAGAACATCTCCATGTTGGAATTTTACATAAATACTGACCACCGCTCCCCTGATTCTATAATTTAATTCATAAATTACACATCACAAACTGGAAAAAGCAATACTTATTCCTCAATTTTATTGCTAGTTAAATTGTAAAAAGCGGGCAATGTCTAGGAAATAAATATGACAACAAAAATCATGAGACGAGACAGATATATCAAAATGACCTTCATGTCATCCTCGATTTTAGCTACTTGGACATGAATGCTGTCAACGATCTCCCTCAGAGGCGACATTGTGGGATACTTGCCTTCATCCCAGTCAAACCTGCCATCCCATCAAATCATTACCTCCCCAGTGTATACTCAAAATCATCAAAGAGAGGACAAATAAGGAAAAAACAGGTTGGATCCATCAGTGATGCACCAAATACCAACCTCGTGAGATAGGAATCGACAGGAACCCCATCCACGGTCAAAGCACCAACCTCGACACCGGACGCCTTCTCCAGCTCCTCGATCTGGCGTCGGATCTTATGCGTCACTCCCTCTATAAAAGCATTCGACTGTGCATCCGAATCGAGCAAAATCAACGCCATAGCAAAATCAAGCCTCAAAAGACCCTGACGTGATCGAATAATTACCTTGACGAGGTCATCACTGAGGGCAAGCAGAGAATCTAGGGTTCCGACCCGCAGATCCGGCGTGTTAAACTGCGCTCCACGAGAGCATTTACACGATCAGAATTCAAAGACCTAAAACTAAAAGGAATCGTAACGATAACAAGATCGACAGACAGCGAACAGGCTTTGCGATGCATTACACGATAGAGCAGGGTGTCGAAGGAGTTCTTGGAGATGGATTCGCGGAGGCGGTTCCAGTGAGCAGAGGCGGAAGTGTGGACGGGGAGCGAGGCGATCCAATACCTCGTCGCCATTGAAGCTGCGATCGGGAGAAGGATCGAAGGGGATTCTTCACACGGGGAGGAGGAGGACGAGGAGGAAGCGATCGCCGGTAATTGCTCTTCCCCTTCCCCTTTCTAAAACAAACACAACAGATACCAGAACAAAAACGTTGCCACCTCGAACGGGCCCACACCGCACCTCATTGATTAACCATCGTCATGTGGCCGCACCCAAAGTCGTGACCGCCGAGTTTGCGACTCGCTCGTGTCAGTTGACTTGCCGGTAAGAAGTGCCAATTCTTTGGAATTCCCCTACGTTGGTTCTTTCTGGTGCAACCAAGCAATTATATTCTGGACTAAATATATTTTTTATTCTCTACTTGATAAAATTCTTTCCTTTATATGAGTTATGTGTCTCTGAATAAGACTACATAACCAAATCATTTCATTTATCGATCAACTTTGACCACTTGATTCCAGTTGTTATTATGAGCTTAATAACCATATATGAATCATTATTATGATTATGATAATTAATTATTAAAAATACTTGCAGTATGTCATAAAAAGTTAATAATTTTATGATAATATTATTATCTTTGTTGAGACGTCCAATTGATTAAGATGTTATTATACAAGTGATAGGCTTCAGATTTGAATTCATGTGTTACATAATGTAATGAAATTTTTTATAAATAATATTACTAATAATTGAATAAGGTTTTTATCCTCTTTAGTCCCAAAGATATATTTTAATTCTTCACAATTTTTCTTGGACTACATACTTTTGATGATGATAATATTGTTGATGATGACAACAATGATCAGTTGAAAGTTGACATATTTGAGATAAGATTTACTGAACCAATCAGAGATTCAGAAAGTAGGCATAAAGACGCAGAAGCTTCATAGTGATCTAATCGTGATCGTCCCAAAACAAGCAGTTCAAAGGATGCGTTATGATGAGAGAAGCTCAAACCAATGTGACAGGATACTGACTTGAGTTTTCTTAAGTTTCTCTTTACAAACAACGATTTTTTTTTCAGTAAAAAGGAACTTTTATTGATGGGTAGCATACAAACATCCTACTTTTATCCCCCAAAAGAACTGCTGTAAAATCTCACAGGGTATGGGTCTTTAAAAAATCTCCGATTTTGTTTTTCGTTTTGTTACTCTCTGCGATTCCCCACCATTCTTATGTACATCACCTTGGAGGAAAAAAAGGAAAGAAATCCACCCGTTTTGTTACTCTTGCAATCTCCTGCCTTTCTTCTATTCATCTTGTTCTCGGTATACCAATGGCAATCTTGCTCTTGGCTGATACATTGCCAGAGAAAAAAATCCAGCAGATGTACAAGGTCCTCAGATTTCCTTATATGGCACGCAGCAGAAGTGTCCCACAAGCAATTATTACGATAATGATTCGTACTCCCTGTTAAAGAAAGAAGGCAAAATGACAGGTTTTCTTTTCAGTAGTGCATGGTTAAATATTAGTATTTGAACTAGAGAAGAAGGTAGATGTGACCATAAAAATGAGCAATTCAGCTACTTCAGACTAATGAAAAATATTTTGCACAAAAACAGTAATTTAGACCAGTAGGATTTTGTATGCACCCAAAAAAGGGCACCTAACTTTTTATTTTTCATTTGGATAGCAAGGCCTACATGGTTTTCAGCTTGGGTTGCGACAATACACAGTAGGTAAGTCAACAATACTAAGTAGCTATAAGTGCTAAACAAAAAATTACAATATATAACAATATAAGATATACTTTTATCATCTGGAGTCCATATATCTGAAAGTGAAGAGTAGTATAACTATAATGTGCATAGAAAGTGAAACCATTTACTGATAGTAGAGACAACAGTCAGCATCATCTAGTGAGCTTTGATCGATGGTGAGAACATCATATTCCTGTCCTATAAACCAATCCATATATATGGTAAGGTGGAAACCAACCAAATTCATGGCAACTATACAAATCTAAAAGCAAATTTGCCATGTTGGATGTGCTATGGCATCACTGATAACAAAATCAAGATATCTGGAGCGTTAACAGGTTTCTGTTTTTAGGGACCAAATAAACATGATTTTTGTTTGCAGAATGAGTAATTAGGCATAGCTAAAACTTCTACATCAGAATGAAAAAAGTACATGTTAAATCATCAAAAATAAGAAAATACCTGGTCGATCAGCCTTCCATTCGAATTTGATGTGCTGACCAAGTTTTCATGGTTCAGTTTTCGTGGACTGCGTGACACATTCTCATTTTTTATCACTGAAACGGATGAATCACTAAACATCTTTTCCTGCAACAAGGCATTACGTTAGAATGCACCTGTTAGAAGTAAATTATAATTGACACAAAGGATGAGTTTGTCAAACAGGTTACACTATACTGTAGGTGGAAGAAGTTATCAAGGACATAAGGAAACCTACAATGTATGAGAGCCCACCATTGGCGTAATCTTTTGAGTTGCGTTGGTAATGCTCATGTATGTTTCGGTCCTAGGGGGAAGGTTAGCCCCAATTTTCACCTCAAAAACTGTATCCCTGATATTTGTTACTTTATCATGCCGTCTACTGATTACTTATGTCAAATGTTGATTGAAAACAAATCATGAAGATAACATTGCTTTATTTGCAATCTTAAAGGGTATAAAATGAGGGGTGAATGTATTTCCATTACTTACACAAGTGTTTCCCCAAGATCATCAGCATGCCAAATAAAAATCGTGTAGAATAAGGCAGTTCATAGGAAGAAAGAAACGGAAACATTATAATTAGCGATTACCATGGACTTGTCCTCCGCTGACAATGATCTTAGACATATCCTGCAGCTTTCAAGAAGATTTCTCAATTGTTTGCTTCCAGTGGTAATGCACAGGTGACGTGGTGCCCAGATACCAAGTGTACCCCACAGATACTCTTCTGTCTGAGTATAAAAAAGTCCTATTGATTCAAATGAATTCCCAGACACTAGTTCTTCATAATGACCTCTGCAGGATCTACAGTACAAGTCCTCTGGAGCTGTATTAATCAAGCACTCTTGTTGGTATGTCCTGGTACTAGGATCAACATTGACAGCCTCAGAAGTTATACTTCTTGATCGGTTAGTTTCCTTCTGAAATTTGCGATCTTCATTTTGATTTTTATGCAGAAATGCGTTTACTTCATTGCCAACATTCTGATCGGTTGCCATATAGCAGGCATGTGCTTTATCCATCCTTGGTTTTGCCTCATTACATGGATCATGTCCAGCATATATGGCCTTCAGTTTTTGAACATTCATTTGTTCTATAGATCCACCTAAACAGATGTTGTCGTCAGTCATGATTGGTTTTTGAACTTTAATTATGCTTTCAGAAGTTTGACACAGTGCAGCATGCAGAGATTTATTTTTCTGATCCGATCCTTTGTTCTTGACCTTTTTCTCAAAATCCAAAATTTGATTGTAATTTACTATGTCTTCCAACTTGGTGGCATTATCTATGTCTCTTCGTTCCTTATTCTCATGATGTGGTCGTTCAGGAATTTTCAAGTTGTCTTGTAAACTGTTATCAGAAAGCGTCTCTACAGAAAATGACTTAGCCATGGTTTGGCCAAAGAATTTTTTCTCCATGCTTTCTTCTGAAGATATTCTTTTCAAAGATTGTTCATTTTGATTCTTTCCGACCGATAATATACCTGAGTCAACAGGATGTCCTAGTCCCTACATTGCATTCAATTTGTAATGATTTCAGTAGGAAAGAGTTGCATGTATAAAGCCCCAACAAAACCAACATATATAGCACAATTAGATAACTACCTGAGATAGGCTATTTTCAAAGGCACTTATCATTTTCCAAATGTTGCTTCTTGTGCTTCTTGCCAAAGGATTCTTCTCATTCCTTTGAATATGGTCTTTCAACTCAATAGAGAAGGGAATGATTTCTTCCCTAGCATTTCTTGGTCCTAGAGATGCTGCAAATTCTCTATGAAGATCTGAACTATCTTCTGGGATGGTGTCCCTTTCTTGAAAACCTTTTATAGCTGATATTCTCTTGCTTTTTCCTTTATCTGTAACACTTAATTTACAGGCGTCATTCTCAGAGTCCCGGGAGTGCTTTTCAAGACCTTGGGTGATTGATGGATTACTGCACTCATCTGTAACTAAGAGGAACTAAGTGCTGTCAGGCAACAATTACCTAGAGCTAACACAAATAAAAAACATAAAAAAAGGAGAAAATCAAAGATGACTAATATTTTCATTTTGTAAGAAGTAAATCAATTCATCATGTGACTTGAAGCATAAGTGGAGAGACACGAGCAGGCATAAAGAGAGTAACTGCGACCATGTCCATGACAAATCTCATAAGTCCTGAATTTCTATCAAAGACAATGAAATCTATATTGGATTAAATAATCAAATTCATTTGCACTGAGAGTTGATACTTAACTTGGTCAGCATGCTTTGGCTGAGTAATTACAGTTCCTTCTATATTGTGTTCAGCATTGCAAGTCAGCATCATATCTTTGATGTTATCTCCTGCAAATTGTAAAACAAATGCAAGTATCTGATGTAAATAGAGTGAAAAACACAGGAGACTGAAAAAAAAGCAATACCATAAATATTACTCTCAAGGCCTTCCTTGAGCATCTCCCCATGTTTCCTTCTAAGTGTAGAGTTCCTCTTTTAACAAAGAAAATGCATTATGTTTAGATAAAACAATGAAACACTATATGTTTCCTTCTAAGTGTAGAGTTCCTCTTTTAACAAAGAAAATCCACTAAGCTTCATAGTATTATAAATAAACTCATGATACCAGTTCATGGATCCTCAGGCGTTCCTCTTCGCTGAGTAAGAACTGCAGCCTCACACGGACAGTGCCACCACCTTCAAGAGGAAACGTATCATCCAGCATCCCCCTTTCAACCACTGACAATGTCTTGAACTCTACCAAGCGACATGAGCCTTTGTGATTGGCATTTACTAAGATTGAACTTTTAAGTTGGTAATCAAACATGGTAATAAACTCCACCTATTCGTGACAACAAATTCCCGTCTAAACTGTACAGCATCACCACCAGGTTCTCCCTCAGAGACACAACTGGGCTGCATCCATAGACAGGGGATCGATTGGGCCAATTATCCTTATTCATTTGGTTAATGCTAGCATAAGAAGCATCGAGGAAATTGCCCTACCGTGTTCCAAGCAAACCAAGAAAATTGAGCTGTAGTCTATCAATTTTCTTATTCAGTAATCGTAGCAAGTTAAGGGGAAGAAATTAGAGCTTTTAATTACCTAATAATGACAAAAAAAGGAGCCTTGGCTTCTAAAGAGGGGGTTCAACTTTAAAAGCACAAGAAGCGGAAAGACACTCACAATGTGATTTCCATCTTCCCCACTGTTTCGTACTCCCTCTTTCCCGCGGTAACTGCAGCAGGCGGAACATCAACATCATTACCAACAGGAATACGAGGGCAAAGGGAGAACCAGAAAATAAAAAAGGAAAAAGAAAAACCTTTCAAAGAGAGAGATCTCGTCTTCGCGTCGGTTAGTGCTGGCGAAGCAGATGGAGGAGGTTCCATCAACTCAAGAACTGCAATTTGAACAGGGATTTTAGCTGTTGACTTTATGCAAACAGATCAAGAAAAGGAAGTAAAAGAATAAAAAAGGAACAACTACCTGAGACTTGGATGGTGCCCGGCATCGCAGTTGGGTTCGGAGATCCGATGACAAAGAAAGAGATCGAAGGAGAAGCCGGTGTGCCGGAAGGAGAAGGACGGGGTTCGTGTTTGGCGCACGAGAGGCGAAGAGCACCCGCCCAGTGGCGGAAGGATATGGGGCGTTGGCGTTTGTGGCTGAGAAAACGAACGAACGAATAGGCCCCCCTAAGCGCGGAAATGGGCACGCTCGAGATGGGCACGTCCTCGGTGAAACGTTGGATGACGCCAATGAGTGTGATGAAGTCCCTATCTCAAGCAGTACGAGATAGAAAGATCTTTCTATTCTGTGATCAGGAGACGTTACTTCCTCTTCAAAATTTTTGGTCGGGGGAGTGTTCATAGTGATTCGAATGGAACCATTCAAGATAAAATCTAATTGAATATATTTTAATTTAATTTAATTTAATTAAAACTGATTAATCAGTTTATAATTTAAATATTTTTGAAATATATATATATTTAAATAGATTGATCTGATTTAATTAAATCGATTGAATCAAATTAAAATTTTGATTTAATTGGACCGACACAATAAGATTTATAAAATTGGACTCTGTGAAATTATGATATTAAAATTGGATAATATTGTGAAACCCATGTACCCAAAATAATTTTATAAAATTAATTCGATTGATCAAATCAAAAAATAATACTTCATCATTTATAATCTTCAAAATCAAACTATTTATGAATCAATTCGAACCAAATCAATTTTGGATCCAGTTTGATTTTTTGATTGGATTTGAGCTCCCCTGATGCTAGGTGTCAATCCATGAGGCTCAATAGTTAGAAGAACGATGAACAATTTACCTCTCCAGAATTGGTATTTCCTCTGTTTGCCCTTTTCTCTTTCTGTCAGCTCTCTTATTTCAAATGCTCTTGCAAAAAAAAAAGGGCTAATTTGATACCAATTGATTTTGACTAACAGGAAAGATTGACATTAGAAATTTTGTAAGGAACTGCAAGAATAAGATTTAACTGAGGTAACTTAGACATAAACCTGTAACATAATATTCAGTAGTATCAGAATATTCGACTTCCAGTTGGCAATTTACAAGGAAATAAACTCAACAATCAAAAGGGAAAAGTCAACATCGATCCATTGTCACTTCTCTAAGCAGATCGTGACTAAGATTTGTAGTCTGTCAAATTCTTTCATTAAGTATATCCCAAAACGGAAAAAGTCGACATTGATCCATTATCACATTTCCCAGCAAATCATGGCTAAGAATTTGTCTAACAAATTCTTCATGTAATATATCCCAAAAATGGTAAAAGTCAACATCAATCCATTGTCACTTCAACAAGTAAATCGTGGTTAAGAATTTTAGTCTTAACAAATTCTTCATATAGTATATCCCAAAAACAAGAAAAGTCAACATCGAGCCATTGTCTCTTCTTCAAACAAATCGTGGCTAAGAATTTTATTCTATCAAATTCTTCGTGCAGTATATCCCAAAAACAAACCATCCAATCAAAAGGAATGAGAATGCTGCCATCCCAATCAGGAAAGGCCAACCAGCCATTAAAACACCAACAAAGAGCACTGCCACAAAGGGGAAGAATGATCGGAGTACTGACATGCCATCCACCCACTGACCTTTCCAGAGGATGAGAGCAGCCAAGTTCAACATGTTCCACCACACAGATCCCTTGTAAGCGAGCCGATTGAGGCAGTTAGCCACAAAGGAATGGCAGTTGCAGGTGAAGAGGTTGTAGTACTTATGCGAAAAATGCTGCGTGCTCGAATGCAGTGCATCGTCCCACGATATTGCTGTTCCTTGTTCGGCATGTTTGTAGGACTGCTCACATGTGTGTGCCGATAGGTTAGGAGGAAAACAGCACTGCACAGAAAATATAACAAATTAAAATAGAGTTAGAAGGTAATCTCTGGTTTAATATGGTCATACATAACACTCAATTGCAAGGTTTTCAGGAAACAGCAAATGTGACTGTTTAGGAGACGATCTACATGCACAAACATATACGATAAGCCAACCAAATACTTGATTCATACAACTAGCTTAACTTGCTGAAAGTTCAAAACTCAATATAAAAGCCTTTTGAAACAACAACGACTGATAATAACCTCAACAAAAGATTCCTGGAGAAAGTTACTGGGCTTGTTATGTAGTTTTACTTAAAGCAAGCATGATTTCTCACCAAATTCACATTTAAATAATCTAGTCATAATTTATATGTGGAAAAGCATAGGTTGTCATAATAAAAAGTGTTGCATGCCCTGCCTTTGTTAGTCGGCAAATGGTACCATCATACTGATGGTATTGCAGCATGTGGTGATTGTGCCATATGAGTAAGCTTGCTGCATTTCAATTTGATGCTGATGGTACATACTGCATTTCAGCAACTTAGTTCATGATCATAACATAAAGCAGCCTAGACTGGAAGAAGCATTATGTTGTATGAAGTCCAAAGAACAATTGCACCAACATTGCAATTATTGGGTTATCAGGATATAATCATTATGCACAAGATAAATTTAAATGTACTAACTATACTAGGCATTGGCAACTTTGCTTCATGGATGGAATAATACAAGAATGAAAATGAAGCACTATTACAATATGCCAGTGATGTATTCAAAGGACAAATAATTTAGTGCAGTCGAGATCAAAATTGCAGACTGAAATCAAAGGCCAAACAAAACTTAGGGTCTGTTGTACCTGCTCCCTGTCGAGTTGAAGATATCTGGCAACAGCTCCATATGCAAAATTATCAATGTTCACAAAATTTGAACCAGCAAAGTCAAGAACTGTTCCATCCTCGCGGCAAATTCCAACGTGACCAATATAAGGAGCCAACCATGAAACTACTGGAAGTGGACTCCAAACTATGCAGCAAGGAAATCTAGCCTTCTTAGGATCCACTCCATTGAGTGGACATAGTTCATTCAGTCTTTCTTTAGCACTGAAATCTTTATCGACAGCAGCAGCTTCAATGTCCATCGATAAATTTAGCCTTGGGGATATTGATCCTTTTGTAGATAATTGACCATGTTATGAAGTATGAACAGCCACTGTACCTCTGTAGTACTTGACTATACCATGCTCACTGATACAAGAAGAATACTTAAGAATGTAACCGATATTCCAACTTGAATTGATGTATAAAAAACCATCTATAAAATCTGATAACTAGAATGCATTTCTCACGAGACAATAGCATGGATTTCTACGTTGTTGAGGCAAGTCATCCAATATGTAGCCTTAACTTGTACATAAACCATGGAAAAACCAATATGTATATTCAACAAAAATTATATTATGAGATAACAACAGAACCCAAAATTGATTATATAGACAAAGTGCCAAACTTCCTCATATATTGTGTAGACTAGATGCTTCAGCAAAAAGTCATACCGTGAGACTCTTTCCTCATCTACCATATATCAAGGTCACTTTATGGAGTGTATCACACTATTCAATTACTTCGTCAAGTTGTATCTGAAACATGCAGGATCTGTATTTGTAGCAGTATCAAAGAAAGATGTTGGTGCAAGTGAAAGTACAGTTTTCTCTGTTCTTGTTAAGTCGACTAGAGAGGAAGCTAGATCAGGAAATTATGTATCTGTTAGTTCAGAAAGTTGAGTGCGAGTTGAAGGATCTAGATCAAAAGGAGAAAGATCGGAGGCTGTGCGCAAGGAAGCTGCAATTGAAAGTAGAGTCGAAAGTAGAGATGGATGCACAGCCATCTTCAGCACATCTATTCCATCAAACCTTGCACTTGGGATTCAAGTCATCAAAGCTCAACCTCCTATTTGGAGTAAAACATCGAATAAAGACAATCATTAAAAGATGGGAACTTAAACATTCGTCAGGCTTCAATATATAAAAATTGGCATCTACTTCATTCTTGTTGAGTCAGAGTTGGACCCACTGCCAAATCTCTTCTGAAATCACGACTTATTTTGCTAGGCATGATGGATCCTCACTTTTGTAAAGAAGACTCAAGTTTAAATACTTCTCGTAATGATAATTGCAGAATTGTCTTTATGAATGCATGAACTATAAAGTGTGAGATTATCAAGCTTAAGGTCTACACAGAGCAGAGATGGAGGTATACAATATGCAATCGCGTTTTCATTACACTAGTAAAGGAAGGGTCAGAAGGAGATAATTGGCACTGGGCAGTGAAGCATAAAGTGAGGGGGGAACTAATCAGTGCAGGCTTTCATCACTGTAGTTCGCAAAAAAGAACCATTTAATCACACATATTCAAGGTAAACTCTGTAATGGCCGAAATATAGTTCTTTAAACATCATAATGTAAACCACAAAACAATGCTTCGTAGTACTAATTAGCATCAACTGCATCACAGGTGAATCAACAGGACTGGCCTCAAGACTGAAATCATCATCGTTTCGTAGTCAATCCATATAGGCAAAGGATGTCTTCAATCTTTCAGTATCTATTCGACTCCACATTTCTCAAGACAAAATTATTGTCAAGGGAAAATTCTGGCATATTACGAATGTCAAAATCCCAAATCATCACATAAGCAATGGCCAAAGAGAAAATGCGCCAACGCAAAGGATTACGACAGAGCAACATGCATAGGAGCTCCCACAGCAAGATCAAAAGCCGAAGCGTTCATCAAAACAGGCTGACTAAGATATTAATCACCACCAATTGATGAAACTAGAAAGAGGGCTCTCTGTACCATGTATCTCAGAGATGAGACTGAGGAATCACCTGCGCCAAGAACCAACCTTGGGAGGATGCGAACTCTTCTGGGGATGGGCAGCAGGATTTCGTTCCCTCTGCTAATGGGCGGCGGATTCCGGTCGAACGATCAACAATGTCGACTGGGCGATGCGAAATATTTCGAGAGGACAAAGATTAAAAGGCCGTCATAATAAACAATAATATCATTGGAAGGGGAAGGGGAAGGTGCATGAACCTTGACGATTCGCGCCGCCCAATGACGGAGCTGTTTAGGATGCGCTTACGCGGAGGGTGGGTGGAAGTATGCCAACGACTTTTGTCTCACGAATCAACGAAGCGGGGACCGAAAAAATGTTTTGGGTTTCCCACCCAACCATTCCCGGGCAGCACGACCTTGATTGATCCGGTATGGCCCACCACTGCTTCCTGGCAAGCAGAAGCGAATGGGTGAATCTGAAGGTAGATTTGGAAAGTTCTTTTTATTGTGACGGCCATGAAGACGATATTTATCCGTAAAGGCACCACTTCATCGGCCCTTCCGTGTCGCCGATCGCTTGCCAGGTAGTGACACGGGTCATCTAAGATCGAGTAGCGGAATTCTGTCGCACGGTGAGTGTAGTCTCTTCACCGTCCCAAGGGACGCCTCCCGTGGCCCCCACCGATCGAGTATGAAGAAGATTCTAGGCGGGAGCGGAGCTCGATCAGCCGCTGGAGTTATCCATCGAAAGCATCTCAGCCGTCCGTCTGGGCCTTGATCGATTTGTGAGACGAAGTGGAACTCCGCCCAAAACTTTGCCCATCACTTATTTTGCTGCAGAGTCCAGAATAAAAAACTGGCGACACGAGTACAGATACTGCACAGTGTAGCCGAAGTAGAAAAACTGAACATGATAATGTACAAACGAGAAGAAAGGCACTTCAATTTGTTTCGAGGTTCGAAACATGAAAACAACACCTTTGGACCAACACGGCAGGCAGGCAGGCAGAGACAACGAAAGCCATGGGTAGTAGTGGGCCAACAAAATGGGTCGCTGAAAGAGCAAACGGCGCCACAACTCTGCCATATGATGTTGCTCCCTGGAGAACATCGGTCTGATTCTGTCAATAGCTGCCGGAGTTAACCAGCACGCCAGCATGCAACCCATGTTTGATTTAGTCCTCGGCCACAGTGTTGAAGACAAAACTGGGGAAAAGTGTTGCGACTTCCCTGGGAAAAATGCGAACCATTAGAACTGTTTTTTGAACATCAATTTCCTTGATAACAACAACAACCATTTGCTTCACCTAAGAAATACAAATCTATATGTTAAGAGATGAGAACATGATGGTACATCTCAATGTGTATAAACAAAAAAAGATGATGAAAAATGTATGTAATAACTCGATAGGAGTAACATAGCTTCGATTTGTAAGATTGAAATCCATCGGTCTAGTAGACCATGTTAGGAACCATAGAGGAGTTCCATGTGTGAAATGTTGTCATCTTCTCTAAAGAGGAGCTAAAGTAAAACGAGAATTTTCACACCAATGAAAGAAGCATGTCAATCAGGAGAATAATTCATGTTGCAACAATATAAACAAAGAAGAATATCCAAGATGAAAAATACAGAAAATATAACTAAACAATGTCATGTATGAGATTAAATCTTTATAGAATATCCCCTTTCCATCTAAGTGAACTTCTGCTATCCAACATTCTTGTAACTGCATTTATAATTCTGTATAGTTACATAGTAATGTACCAATCAAGTTACATGCCATTAGTAATACTAACTGTCAGAAACAAATTATCAATTTACCAATATAGTTACATACAATTAGTAATACTATCTAGCAGAAGAATTCAAACTCATTGGTCCTCAATCTCTTGCTTAGCCTAAAACATAAGTACAATGGAATTGCAAATTATCTGATTAAGCACGAGTACCTGACATTGCAATAATTTCTATTTGATGTTTAATGGGTTATTGTGTCAGAATTTTAGCCCCTCTCAACATAAACATGATTGTAACAAAGTTGTTTACCATCCAGAAGATTCAGAGGCTCCAGTTTTTCTTGTCCCCAAGAAAACATCACAGGTTACAGTTTAATTGTGAAGCCTAAATTAGATGGTGTTACTCAGTCACTTTTAGAACCATGCAAAAACTTGAAAAGCTACTGATTGTTAACATATGTAAGTGATTGGAATGATTAAACTACAACTAAATTTCAACAGGCCTTTTTGTTCATTAAACTACCTTGTTAATTCCAACTGAAAAAGGCTTATTAAAAATGCATTAAACTTTGTAAAATTTCAAGCATAAAGGATGTCAAAATGCTAAAACACCTAGGCTTTTCATTACAAAACTTGAAACCAAAGATGACTTGTTTATTATGTATGTTCAAAATTTTTTATCAAAATAACATAACTAGATAAGGAACAATCCATTTAGCCAACCACAAAGTATATCTTTAAGAACTACCAGGAAAATCAAACCACAACTGACGTAGGTGCTGAATGAATTGACGATGAGCTTTTATATTTAGTCATAAAATGATAAAATATTTCATACAATATTTTACACGATGACAATTTCTAATGGTCTCCAATAACCTCCTTTTATCCTCTTGTCCACATAGGCAATCACGTGTCTTGAACCTTTGCTCAAGTAAGCAAATGGGTGGAGGATAGCATTCATCTTCTTCTTCCACCCTTAACATCACGTTTACATATTAGGTAACGATTAACTAATTGTATAGTCTCTATCATAAAGTTTTTTTTAAAAATTAAAAAAAAAGTGACATATATAAGATATGAATTTAGGAGTTTTACAACTAACTAATATCTTCATATATAAAATAATAATGAATGTTAATTATGCTAAAAACAAGAAAGATAAATTAATTAGGCTGCTGAGTTGATGGTCAAAACCACGTAAGATGCATATGATGGGTTTAATCAAGGTCAAACATTTTTACGCGATGGAATACCTCTCAGGAAAAGGCCAACACCACTCGACCGCAAGAGAGTGAACTGTGACTACATTGCTTGATACGTTATTCTGCAAGTAAACAAACGGGTGATGGGCTCTTTTAGATGCTTTGCTTCCACTACGCAGGATATCGCTGGGTTGTCTCCCAATTCTTTTTCCTTGGCATCCTGTCTTGGGTCTTCATAGGATGATAGGGGTAAACGTAATCCTGTATGCATTGGGTACCACATTATGATCCGCTAGATAGTAGTCACAACAATTCTAGATTCTGACGACAATCATGTTTCATTATTCATGAACTAAAATATGGCTACGAGCTGAAATATTGCACTTCAAGCATTCTCATGATATCGATGGTTGTGTGATAAGTAGCCTTTCGGGAAAATTCATAAATGTGCACATGATCAAACTCAAGGAAGTTGGCTTCAATATCTCACATGTTACAGAGATATAAGCTAAGCTAAGAAAAGTAAAGGGAAGATAAATATAATCGATATATCATTGGCCTTTTGATTCTTGTACTTTGATTGTTACATGATGCCTTGATCGATATGGTAAATGGCACAACATGTAAGTACCATTGACTCCTGGAAGAAGATTCACATCCTGTTCCCTCACTGAGCCGTGGTCTGAGCGCAGAACCAACTGTGCTCTGGCAATTCCTGGATCGGTCCTGTTGCGGCAAGTGCAACTTCCTGAAACATTAAATGGTGATTAGTAACAGTATGAAACATGAAAGAAAGATTGCCTAATTATTGACTCATCTTTCAAGCAAATATCAAAGAACAAGCAAATATCATCTTTCGAGGTAAAAAATCCCACAGCATAATAGTCTTTATTTTAAATGAGTTGCGATGTAAGATTTAAATGAGCAAAAAAGTCTCATTGCCTTATTGATGATGAAGTTCCTTGCTGTCTCCATAATTGCAGCAGCATCAACAGTATCAATGCGAGCAAAAAGCTCAACGAATGGCAATACCCGCCCGTATGTCAGCATCTGCACGTGGTGATGAAAGTGATCTTTCTTAATATTCTAGATAAAATATATTGAGCTCAACAAAATTTAGGATGTTTGCTTAACAATGAAGCCCCCTCAGGTATATATTGCAAAAAGAAGTATTGAGCAGCACAAATGTTGAGCACTGATGTCTACCTGACGGCCATTATTCTCAGAAACAGCAGTGGATCCATCAATGTGAAGCAAAAGCACGGATTTTAACTGCATAATATGTAGAAACTACTAAGAGATTCATTCAGAAAAAGCTTATCTGACGATCATAAGCCAGCAACGGATATTTTCACAGAGAATAGTGGTGAACGTTGTTGATATGCAAATAGAATGCTCCATATACCTGATTCCTAGCACGAACAACTTCAGCTTCTGACACTTGGTATGCAAGTCTCTTAATCTCATCCATCAAGACACATGATAATTCACGCAAACATTTTGGCTGCAACAACAGATTTTGAAATGGAAATAATAAAGGTGGCATGCACTTCCATAGTTGTTACTTAATAAGTCATAGTAACAAAAGCACTTCTATTACCTAAGATTCAAATTTCTAAGTGAGGGAAGCTAACAGAAAGTCTATTAAGAATGCTGGTAAAAAGTGTCATCTTTGTCTTAACATATTTATGCCTGAATAAATATTCAGGATTTATTATCAATATCGCATGCATCTAGAGGATAACGAATGTCCACTGGGCTGCCGTTTCTTCATAATAATTGCTCAAGTTTGTTTAAACATAAAATCCATTAGCAGATGCCACCAGGACATTGAAAAGAACTCTCAATGGCCAACAGTTCATAAGCAACAACATGCATGAGAAGAAAGATACATCGACACAAACCCAATATTTTGAAACAAAAATAAAAGAGCTACAATTAAGCTCTTAATCTATGAGAATAAAGCTTACCGAGGCAATGGAGTAGACACCAAACAATCCTATATCACGATAGTTGGTATTGAAAGCCATAATATTTTCAGCTAAGTCATCAGTGCCTACTCGACGAGCAAGCTGAGACCTGATAGTTCATGGAATAGCATAACATTGTTGAAGCACTCGGCTAAAAGTGTATTGTACCGGCAAAAAAGAAACTGCCTTCACTCATCTTACCCTGAGCAATTGCCGACACCAATGCTCTTGTTCCAACTACCCAACAAGCTTTGGATTACCATAAGGGGGATAGAGTTAGGGTCTGTCCAGGATGACCCTTTAAATGCTATTGCAAAATGCGCTAAAGGCATTCCCTCATCCTGCACTCGAACCTATAATACATATGGTCTATTGGTGATATATAACCCAACAAATCGGGTGCACAAGGAAGATAAATTCAGTGATGTAATAACACAAACCTCTGAACCTGTAAAAACAGCTGGATTTGCATTTACAAGCTGATCTGCAGTGGTTGGATCTGTGGAGAAATTTGTGAACAGCCTTCCGACCATGTTAACAATCTCATCATGTTTAACAGCACCTGCAGCCGACACAACCTTTGACAGAACACATCCAAGACCTCAGAATTTCTCTACACTATCTGTAACCCAAAGCATAAAGATTATTTCACAAGAAATCACCATTCTATGGCCTGTATAATGAGTGGAAATGTATTGCTGCAAGTCAACCCTCGAGATCCCTCGTATATTCTCCTCCGGGCCCAATATTGTGTCCCCTAGAGGATGGCCCTGAAACGCTGCAGAATGCAGGTGGTCGAAGATTACCTCTTCTACCTGTCCTTGCACCTGTTTCCTCACATCGCCAGACATGCATAAGAACCTACTCGTAGAGCAAACAGAAGGAAAAGGAGAGGAACCACGAGCTGACCTCCTCCATCTCCCGGAGGATGACGCCGCGCTCCCGCTTGATCGCGTGGTCAGGGAACTTGGAATTCTGCAGGATGTCGGCGAGCACGTCGACGGCGACGGCCACGTCCTTGGACTGAACGTCGGCGAAGAAGGTGGTCTGCTCGCGAGAGGTGTAGGCGTTGAGCCGGGCGCCCATGTTCTCGATCTCCTCCTCGAGGGAGCGGGCGGTGCGGCGGCGGGTGCCCTTGAAGATCATGTGTTCGAGGAAATGGGCGGTGCCGTTGGTACCGGGGGCCTCGAAGCGACTGCCGGCATCGATCCAGACGCCGATAGACGCGGTGTGGGAGGCGGAAATGGGGGCCGATTGGGTGACGACGCGGATGCCGCTGGGGAGGGTGGTGTGGCGGACCTGGGGGAAGCGCAGAAAGGGGGAGTGGTCGAGGGGAGGCCTGGCGTCGGGGGAGCTGTAGCGGAGGAAGCGGGGGTCCGGCGCCGGCTCTTCGGGAAGACTTGGGCGGGCAGAGAGCGAGAGGTAGCGGGCGCGGACGGCGGACGAGAGGGCGGCGTCGAGTTTCCTCCGAAAGCGAGAGAAAGAAAACGCCATGAAGAGAAGCTTTGGTTCGTTCGTTTTTGGCTAAGCAAGCGCGCAATCTGATGCCGTCGGGCCGATGTTTCGGAAGCTCAAATTGTGAGCTCCGAGGAAACAAATTCGTAATAACATCAATTGGGAGGGAGGAAAGGGATAGGAAGATGAGATACGGCGCTAAGACATTTCAACGAACAAGTCCAGGGCAAGACACCCGCAAGTTTGAAGCCCTAAATCCCCTTCGAATCGGGTTCGAGTGAGATACCACCAGATACCAGCCGTGACGCGTCCCGCCTGATTACCTACACGAATACAGATCTACACTTGGCTGCTAAGTACTGATCGTGAGTAACCTTGATCAGGGATGATCTTCTCCATATCAAAACCAATCTCAAAGGAGATGTGGCGACGTGGCTTCTCAAAATCAAATCAAATTTCAACCATTGAGGTACTATTCTCGTTGTTAAAGCAAAATATCATTTATCCACGTCAGCCCCATATCAACTAACCACTTGGCCAAGTCCTAGTCTAAGTAGGACTCGGGCCGGGCCCCAACCAAAATGGATGGTTAGAACAAAGATACACTGATAGAAGATACGGACAACTCCTTGTGCGTTATGAAATTACCGCATCACCCAATCTCTAAAGAGTCTTGATCATTGTAGAACTCCTTCAATCATTGTCTATATGGAATTCTTTCATGTGTTGAGAAGGCAATTCCTGTGTGTCAAGGAATTATCTCATTACCTAATCTCTGGGGAGTTTCGATCACATCCGTACTCCTTTAATCGAAGCCTATATGAGAAGGAGATTGTTGCCTTCTCAATTGATGGAAAAATCTTAAAACCAACATTCCTCAAGTCAAAGGCATCCAGAAAGAATCTGCAACCTTCGTGTTTGTCATGCAAGAACTTCCAAGCAATCATCGCTTTAGTTTCCTACTTTAAATTGATAACAAGAATATATTAATTTTTCTTATAAAATTATGTTTATTATATTAAAAAAAAGTACAACTTCTCTCTCACAACTTTGATGAGAGATGGACCCAAACCTCACAAATGATGATGTGGACTCGATGAAAGAAGGAAAGAGTTCTACGGTTGAGATAGCTTTTTGGATGTGCATCATCTCCGCCTATCCGTATCTACTTATCAAGTGAGTTTTAGCTTTTCTTTCTATTTTCCTATACCTCTGTCCTGAAGACAGTCTTGAAAATTCATCTTCTTTTTGAATATTCCGGCCAATGCAGGAAAATAAGACAACCAATCAAATTGAATAAAATATTTTTTTCTTTGGAAACTATAAATGAAGGAAGGCTCTGATCCAAAAACAAAATCTATATCAATCAATCTAGCACTTTCATCAAACACTACTTCATTAAGAAAATGAGCAGAGATATTTACTTCATCTTGGCCTAATAAGAAACGAATGAGCTAATGATGGATGATAACCTCTTGGCAATGGATAGAGCATTCGAGTGAGAGCACGGCTACAGCTTCTACTGCAGTAGTGTGGGCACCTGGCGGTAGCTTGAAAGCATGGTGCGGTCGATCAACTTCATCTTGGCATACCAGTGTGATACATGAACAGAGCATTCACCCGCACAGGAAGAAGTATCAAGATAATTCAACTAGTGTCACTTTAAAGTGCATTTGAACTTAGAAGAAGTTAGCAACCATCGTCTGTGAAAACTAAACCCAAAGTCAAGCATGCATACAGTTTTCTTATATCACATGTAAAAAGGAAACGTGTACTATCTGTTCCTCTCTGGCTTAACCAGTTCTTCTACATGACTTCTGTACTTGACAACTAGATCCCTGCTAAAAAACAAGCACTAATAAGAAAGAGAAAAAAGAAACTAAAACCAAGTAGGAATACATAATGCACATGGATATCTCTATGAGGCATAAACATACCTCCTCTGGTTCAGTTGTTGCATAGTCTCTTCCAGCCTACGCTTCTGTCCCTCAACTGTCTGGAAGAATTAGAATAGGACTCCAATTAACCAGAGAAAGGGAAGGAGAAAATAAAGCGCACACAAGCTAAATGAGACTTGAGATCCTTCTAACCCTCAATGACACATGGAATAATGTCAGATTGCACAAGAAATAAAGGAATACAAGGCAATATTTATCTAATATATATATATATATATATATATATATATATATATATATATATATATATATATATATATATATATATATATATATATATATATATATATATATATATATATATA